ACCGGCCTCGCTCCCACCATCCGGGGATGCCTTCCTCATGGTCACCGGCCTCGCTCCCACCTTCCGGGGATGCCTTCCTCATGGTCACCGGCCTCGCTCTCACCTTCCAGTTCAAATCCTGTTTGATGGACCCTTGATCTCCAGCGGCACATGAAAAATGTTCATATTCCAAGTATTACCTGCATGTTTGTGGAGAGAGGATGGGATCTATGAAAACTAAAGGATTCTACTCTACCTGTACAATAACTAATGCAATTGACAAAGCATCGTTTCATCACATCTCACAGACAGCTTGCTCTGTTGTCTTCCGGTCAGTGCCTTTGAACCATGGGGGTTCATTTCCTGCCTTCACTCTGACTGACGGCCCCATTCCTGAAACACGGCTCTACTCCGGCACATTGCTGTTCTTTCCTCCATGTTGCTTGTGAGCATTTCTGCCAGGACCCTGCCGGCTGTCTAATTAAAGCCCCCGCATGCTGGGCCCTCCTTTTGGGGACGCTCCTCCCCCATTACATGCTCCCCCCATCCCGTAAAGCGTGCTTTCTGCTGCGTTATGTAACACCCATCCCTCCCAGCACACCTCCCCTTTGCTTGGTTTCCTCGGTAACCCGTGTCCCTGTGGGACGGAGCCGTGTTCTGGTGTGATGCGGTGTTACACGCTGGAGCTGTGTGATGGGGCAGGAAGCGGGGCAGGGGGTTTGCCCACCAGCTTGTTAGCGTGACAGTGTGCTCGTTAACTGTGGTCTTCCATGGGACACCAAGGCTTCTGTTGGTGGTACTGTACCATTTTTCATGAAAACTGTTGTAGAACATGTTTGTGGACCTCTCTCCCACTGCGTGTTTATTTGTTAGCTCTAACCAGGCCTCAAAGTGGCCCCACTAATGGCTAATGTCAGCTGATTTCTGTGTTTGTCCACAATTGCCTTTCATGTATGTCCGAATGACAAAGGCAGTTGCAGGCCCATGGACGAATGGAGACATGGAATCTTACATGGTGTCTGTGATCCAGCCATGAGCAGGCAGACAAATGACTGGTGTCAGAACTGTATATGGTACTTCTGCAGGCATGCTGTGTTTGGAAGTCACCACGTTAAAGGAGGTCATCTCTCCCTTTGCACAGCAGGGCTGTGTAAGCAGCCTGCTTTTCAAGATGACCTGCTCACTATGCTCTAAAGCGCACCAGCATTCACATACAAATGGTATTTTACTGTGGCCACTTTAAATTAAAAGTACCACCGATTTAGCAACAGACATGGAATGTCACAGTCTGAATATAAAGTTGAAAGTAGAAGCTTGTGTGATGTTGGGATTTCAGCTCTGTGACTGTGTGCCCCTCTAACCAATAGGTGGGGCTGTTACACTCTTTGTATTATGGGTAAACCGGCTGCTGCTGTTCATGGACTTTCGCAGATGCATAATGATACTGCTGGGTTTGTTTAAGTACTCATCAAGCTGTCCTATGAATCAGCCCCTCCTAGGTCATCACGGTGCCGTAAATTGTATGTTATAACCATCAGGAATCGCGGAGGTGGAGTTTATACTGTAGGGGGCTGTGATCGCAGAGAAGACTGCAATACTGTAGGCTAGTCACCTGATCAGCCAGCTGTATGCTGTGCCGAGGGCGACACTGCGGATTATCCAGTGAAAATGACAAAACAGACTGCATATTACAGAAGCCTCTCTTTCGGTGGGGGGGGGGTGATGGTTTAGATCACCGCTTTCTAAGGCCATACAAAAGTTCAAACAGATCCACAGGCATTTCCAGCAGCCTTGCTGTCTTGTCAGTGTTCTCTTCCCTGAACAACACGTTTGTGACAACATCATCCTGGGCCAGACAGACCTGATTATATAGTAGTTTTTAAGCTTTGGCCCTAGTACGCATGCACTCATTTCCAGAGTCCCCCTGGTGGAAGCACATCTGAATTGCAGATACTGCCTGCTGCATTCCTCGCTGTGATCTGTGAGAGAGAGAATGCAGTCTAATTATAGCCTTTCAGCTGGAACTGACGATGAAGTGGATCAGACTTAAGGGTGTGCAAAACTGTGCTGTAAAATTAAAGTGAAACAACATCACTGCATACTGTGAGGAGGGTATTTCCTGCATTGCAGGAGGGTGTCTGAGAGCACGCTCCAAGGGACAGGTCACGTAGAAAAACATCCATCTTTCTTTGGTCCATGGCAGATGACCTAGCAGGCTTGTCAAGCTTTGGTTACATTCGTATGATATGTTGCTTAGATATTTCCAGATCTTTCCAAGGCAAAAAGACAAAAACCGAAGTGAACATGTTTTTCACTCTGCTCCCAGTGCTGTTTGGGATATACCTCAGCAGAGGTCCAATGTCCATGTCCTCACTGACTCTGACTTATGAGGCTGCTGGAATGTTCCCTGCACTGGAGTCCCAGCGTGCCGTGTGATTTTACCGCCCTCATGAGTTTGAGGAGGCCAGTGTTCTTCAGGTGATCACTGCAAAAGAACAGAGAGCAGAGTTTGCAAGCAGGGCTGCTCTGCGCAGGCTTGACTCGTGTAGACCTACATTGCCAGAGCTGTTCACCCTCTTTCTTGGCATTGGCTTAGCAGGATGTCTGTCCATCTCTGTGCTCCCTGACCTCCATGTTCCAGGTGTCTTTTTTGTGGGAGAATCAATGAATGTAAAAGGCCAAGCACAGCCTGTAGAGGGTATGTGGGCTACAGCTCATTGTTTCTTATCACACTGTATTTCTGAGCACAGCCTATGCATTCCTGAGGAATGTACAGGGGCTGCTTTGTGCGTGTTTAACAGGGTCAGAGCACAGAGAATCACCACAGTGGCTGCTGTGTGTATAAGAGGGTCAGGGCACAGAGAATCACACAGAACCTGCTTTGTGTATATAAGATGGTTAGGACACAGAGAAGCACACAGAGGCTGTTGTGTGTGTATAAGAGGGTCAGGGCACAGA